CAGCTATTTTTATTAATATCATTCTCTCACATATGCAGAATTCATCTAAGAACCTCAACCATTTGGGGCTTAGCCCAGAATTACAAAGTAAGTCCAAAGGAAAAAGGTCTTCAAATGATTAAAATTGGTGCCTGTAAGCTAAGACAGAAATACTTAATTCACAAATGGACTTCTTTCGAGTCCAATTAATGTCATGATGTATGGAACTCTATGAACCTCACAGGACATGAAGGCAGTATATTCAGCAGGCAAGCACTCTGACAGCATTTGAGTGTGATTGCTGAAACATAATGATCTGTAACAAGAACTTCAAAAATATGATATGAATTATAACCATACATATTTTTTTTTGCTTTTGAACAGAGCAACTCATTGACTGTCTACCAGGGCATACTAGGTGTATTGGGTGTATTACTCAATTTAATTCTCACAGAAATCCTCTGCAGTCTTTTTAATGCCTAGCTCTAAAAGGTAGATAAATAATAAGTAAATAAATGCCATAAGAAATATCTCTCAAAGCTAGGAAGCGGATTTGACTAAGAGTTTGCCTGGATTTAAAGTCTGCACTTGCTGCTGTACACTCCAAAAATGAGCCCCCCCAAAATGTGTCCAAAAATGGGGCAAGACACATTTTTTAAGAAAAAAGAGCGCTTTTATTTAACCTAGTACAGGGACACAGTGTAGTTGGAGTTCATGAAGCTGCGTAACTCACTTAAAACTTTTTCCAGACCTTTGTAGAAAGCACAATTTACAAAGTAAGGGGTTTATGGGTGTGGATCAGGAAATGAGGAAATCCTTGATCAGATAAGGAATGAGGAAGACCTTTGCTTCCCTTTGCAGAGGACAGAGAGGTTTCACAGGAATTTACAATCCTTTGTCAACTAATTTTAGCATTTAATTTTAGATAACATCTGTCCTTTGCAGAAAGGAGCAATGGTTAACATATCAATCAGGTCACCCAGGAAGATGGTGCATACAGAACAGTATGATGGAGCTACAGCTGTTTTATAACAATGTGGTCGGTGCCCCAGGGTGTCTGGTTGTAAGAAATAGTTGCGTTTGCAAAGGGAATTAACAAGTAATTTGGTCATATAACTTGAGCATTGGCAAACATAACACAAACATAATGAAGCTCTTTTTGTTAGTGTATAACACATAAAGCTTCATAGATCTATGAGTTCCTCGCTCCCTCCTTTCCTTGTTTCCTTTTTTACTATCCTCTTCCCCTTCCTTCCTTCCTTCCTTCCTTCCTTCCTTCCTTCCTTCCTTCCTTCCTTCCTTCCTTCTTCCTTCCTTCCTTCCTTCCTTCCTTCCTTCCTTCCTTCCTTCCCTTAATAACTGGAGATAATTCCTGGCCTCAGAATATTTTTCTCTATTTGCAGGATTGGGATTGAACCTAGAACTTGCACTGACTTACATCCCCATCCTTTAAAAATTAAAAAAAAAAAAATTGGAGACAGAGTCTTTCTAAATTTTCCAGAATGACCTCAAACTTGCAATCCTCCTGCCTCAGCCTCCTGAATAGTTGGTATTGCAGGTGGGTATGTGCCACCATGCTGGGCACTTAGAATAGTTTTCTTTCTATTTTGAATAATTTTAGATCCACAAAAATTTGCTAAAATAATTTCCATAAAACCTTCTTTCCTCAATGATATCATCTTATATAGGCAGGGTTCATGATCAAACTAAGGAAATAAATATTCATACAACACCAGTACGTAGACTGTAAATATTATTTGGGTTACACCAGTTTTTGAATGCACCCATTTTTTTCATGGGACTTAAAGTCTATTGTTTATTTTGTTATAATATGGTTTATAGTTGGTAAGTAAAATTAAGCTCACTTTTAAGTAGTTAAAATATGTATACCATTGAGAAAAACTTTATCCAATATCATCAAAATAAATACAATTTCACCATAAAAGGGTAAACACTTTTGGAACATTTAGCCTGTCAGAATTATGAATATTCCAAAGGGTTCAGGATGTCCAGAGGTGAGAGCCCGTGATTTTTCTACAGAACACAATAGGATTGGTTAAGTCTTTAGATATCTAAAACTCTCATAATGCACCAGATCCATGTGCAAGTGATTTGTGTTTAACTCTGGGTAGGCTTCCCACCATAGTTTCTTACTTTCTACAGCACATTAGGAAAGCATATTATACTGTGTGGCTGTCCCCTCAGTTCCTTCCATGTGCTGTGGAATCTATGTGCTAGTCAGACATTTCTGAATATGATTTTCTGTTTATGGATTCACCACTACCCTCTAATATAATTCACCGGGGCATGAGATTACTCTTTATCTGTGAAAATGCTATAGTGATCTGAAATGAGACAGAGAGATGTCTGGTTCTGACTGAGTTCCACTTAGGACAGAACCAGTTATTTCCACAGGTGCTGCTGGTATACCGTGCAGAAAGCAATGCCTTCAGAACTCTCATATTCTCTTATTTCATTTTCTTCCCCCTTTTGTTGCTGGTGTCTGAACCTTCTTCGGCAGCCAGGTCTTTCTTCTAGAAGCACCTAGAAAGGTCAGTCTCTTTCCACTAAGTCTCTGTTCCACCAGACTTAGTGAGTGAGTCCAAACTGACCCTGACATCATCACACCCAACTGCTTCGATCCTTTGTACCTTCCATTTTTGCTGGTGTCACCGCAGTCTGTCCTGAACACCGTCTCTCCCCTTGCCCCTCACTTGTGGCTCAGGGCTGAGGGCTCTTTGTTCCATTTCTTCCTTGTCTTTCCTTTTGTCCTGTTGTTTCAGGCAGAAAGGAAGACGGTCTCCTTTGCCAAAGTGAGAACCATCTGCAGGTGGAGATTAAAACTGGATCCACCATCGTGCTCTGGGATGGTAACTGTGCCACACTTGACAGATGGCAGGTCCTCGTGGACTGCTGGGAATCATTCTGAAGGGATTTCCTCCCCAGCAGGGATCTCCGGCTGAGATCCAAGCGGACAGAAGAGGGAGGACTTTGGGAAGCTGGCCAGGCAGCTTGGGAGCAGACTGCATATGCCTCTCCTCCCCACTTGTGTAGGCCACTGCCGTTGGCCTTGTGCTCATCTTCTGTTCCCTTCTTACCCTAAACTTCCGTGCCCCTGTGTTTTGGAAATGGTGAGTCTATTGCCCAGGACTAGGAAATGATGGACTCAAATGTCCTCTTATTTATTCTCAGCAATTTACAGTCACTCTTCATTCAACAACAATTCACTAAGATCCTTTGGGTTAGAAACACTGCAATTTTCCTTTTTCAGAATTTCTTACATTCTTTTTTCACCACTCAGTTTGGCCTTATTGTGTTAATATAGGACACCCATATATATAAAATAAAAGCTCCCTCTCTCTGTCTCTCTCTCTCTCTCTCTCTGTCTCTCTCTGTATCAGCATTGCTTTGAAGCTTACTCCCCACACATTTTCTGATTTTACTTGTATGTAGGCCAGAACTCACACACACACACACACACACACACACACACACACACACAGAGAGAGAGAGAGAGAGAGAGAGAGAGACAGAGAGAGAGAGAGAGAGAGAGAGAGAGAGAGAGAGAGAGCTTTTATATATGTGTCCTATATTAACACATTAAGGCCAAGTTTCGGTGCCAATTTAGAACAGTGCTTTAATAGACAACACAGGACATTCCACATTGTTTTTCTCATGCCCCACTCTGAGATCAATCCAGTCATTGCGAACCTATTCCATAGAACTACATGTTTGCACTGTGTTTCTGGCGGATTTTCTTTGCCAGGTTTTTCTTCCAACCTTCAAAAGTCGTCTCCAATATCTTGGAATTTACTTCTCATCTGTATAAGAAGGTAACCAGACCACAGCCAAGCATTTTTCAGAAATATATATTGAACTTGTTTCTGGACCAAGCAGACAGATTAAACTTTGTCATTAGTGTATAAATAAGGGTCATGGGTTCAAATTAGACGCATCTCTAACTCACTAAAGAGATGAAGAGTGTGAAGTTGGGCTTTACTGACACTGAACTCCTCAAGGCCTCTAGATTAAGATTCTAGAATTACTCTCAAATCTTTCTCTGTTAAATGAAATGTGTTTTGGGAAATATTCAGCTTCCTGATTTTTCTTGAAAGCAAGATTTTCAAACTGCCAAATGATGCCATAAAGTTCTTGGACATTAAATAGATCCTGTATAACAAATATTTTGATGATTTAAGGGTAAATAAATAAAAAGCACACAGACTAACTGTCCCTTAAAGTATGCATGTGTTTTAAGATGAGTGGAGGGGGGAGGGACAGAAGTGCCTGATGAAAGGCACATTGGGTTTCATATAGCCCCAAATGTTTGAAAACTAGTTGAGGCAGTTGATGAATTCCAAACGAGACTAGGTCCTTCTCTCTTTGACAGAACACTGTGAGCCAGTTTTCTGTATTTTCAAAAGAAATGGCCTGCCTTATCCTGGAGCATGACCTCCCCCGAAAGGGAAGCTTGGCAGTGTGAGCCTCCATGGGCAGCTGAAAGGGGTGAGGTGATGGCCCCTGCCTGCACTAACCCTCTGAGTGACTTGATTTACAACTGCATCGGGAGCCCCACAATATTACATCTCTTGCTTCCATAATGCCTCAAACTTCCTACCTCATGACTGAGTTAGGTAGTATTAAAGGGTTTCCACTGGGACATGTAAAACCTTGGCTTTTATCCAAACCAAAATTCAGCCACCCCTCGAGCATTGTAATTGAGGTCTAAATAGAACCTGACATCATTCCTGGTCTCTCAAGTCAATCAACAATCAACTAACATCAGATGCCTACTAGAGCAAAGCTACACTAAGATGGAGCGCGGGAGAAAGGGAAGGAAACAAGCACAAAGAAAATGGAGAAACTCAGAAGACAAAGTCCCAGTTCCAAGCAGCTCATGATCTAAGAGTCTTAAACGCATAGTAAACTATCAAATGGCACCAGGCAAGCACTGGTTAGGAGTGCTGGGCCAGGAATGCTTTCAGAAAGTGAGGTGATTTTTAATGGGCCTCAAGATTGATCTGAGTACTGAGTACTCAGAATTCAGAGGAGAACAAGACAAGTGTGACCATTGCTCTTGGGCATCTTACATTTGAGCTGGGAAGATAAGCATCAGGTAGTTCAAGACATCATTTATCCTTGTTAACTGTTAGTGCTAAATGGTTTTATGGAAACTGAATTGCTCCTGACTCTCAAAGAGTGGTCTACTCCTCTGCTCGATAAAGATGCAGAATTTCAGCCTCTCTCCAGCCCCAGTGAATTAGAACCTGCATCTTAAACTCTATGCCAGGCAATTCTTATGCACATTAAATTTCTAGAAGTAGAGTCAAGATAACAGTGTGCTGCAAGAGATCGAAGGATTTATGAATCATACAAGGGCAAGTGGATAACTGGAACAGAGGCCTCTTCACCTGGGTGACATTTACACACCCAAATGGAGTGAATGGAGACTTTATCTCTTGCATCAGTGTTGAAGGACACCCTAGGTGAGATGCTGCTCTGTTCTTTGCTGTCTATTCGTATTTTATCATTGCCAGTTATATGTCTCCTGGGTTGGGTCTCTTTCATGTTCCGAAATAGGAGATCTATTCTGTTTGGCATCAATATTTTCCTATGTTTCTCCCCTCTACTTTAAGGACTGGCTAATGTTTTCCAGATGAGGTGCGAGCAGCTGCTAATTGTACCCGGATCAGCCTTGATTTGTGTTTCAGTCAGCAAGGCACCTCACTAATGGGTCTGAAACTTGGCAGCAGGCCTGGGACCAGTGTCAAAGGAAACAGATCCGAAAAGCACATAGAGAAAGGCAAGGAGACAAGGAGTCGACGTAAAAAGGTTTGGAGGATGAAAGGAACGGGAGGGAATCAGAGGGACAGGAGAGAGCAGAAGAATCTTCAGTGGGTGGGGGTTGGGGCAGGAGAGAAACAGACCTAGAAAGCAGGGGCTGCAGAGTACAAGGGACAGGGGCAGAGATGGGGATTAGGAGGCACAGGGAGGCATGGGGGAAGAGGCTGAGGGGAAGGAGTAACCACATCTGCATCTCTGAGAGGAGGGAGGGAGAAGACATGAGAGCAATAGAGTATTTTGTGATGTAACCCTGATCACTGATCATTTAGCCTGCTGTTGCTACATGGGGACCATATGTGGACAGAGTCAGACAGGGCAGCCCCTGTCCCTTCTGCAAGCAGAAATCTGATTTCTCTCTCTTTCTCTCTCTCTCTCTCTCTCTCTCTCTCTCTCTCTCTCTCTCATATTTTCCAAGGGCTTGGCAGGCAGCACTGTACTCTGATAGCAGCCAGAGAGTGAGGCTTAAATTCTAAGCCTGACAGGGTTGAGGGGCTCAGACACACCTTGGCTTTATGAGCTGAGGCCTGAGGCGGCCTCTCCTGGCTTAAGATCCTGGAGCCAGCTTTCCTGGAATGAAGCTGGAAAGGGGCCTTGTTAGGGGAAGCCGACAGCGGAGGCCTAAGGCTTTTCTGAATTGGACACATTCACTGTACTCAATTAAAAAGTCACCTCTATACGAAGGAAGAAATCCACTTGCCATGATGAATTCCAACTTGTTCAGAGTGGGGGGAGAACCTGCATATACAGGAATATTTGTGTAGGCAAGCAGAGGGTGAGAGAAACAGGGAAACAGATCCAGTCACCAGCAGGAAGGCTAAACAATGCTTTAGGACATCAGCAAAGCAGTGGTACACCCACCCCTGCCTCTAGCAAGAAACAAATAAACAAGCCTGCAGTTTGGAGGAAAAAATTAATACTTCAAAAATAGCATTCATGTTCAAACAAAAGCTTGTACACAAATATTCACAGCAGCACTATTTATAACAGCCCAAAGATGGAAACAACCCAAATAACCATCAACTGATGAATAAACAAAATGTGCTATGTCCATGTGCTGGAATATTATCCACCCATAAGAAAAAATGAAGTGCTGACACATGCAACAACAGAGAGGAACCTGGGAAACACTATGCTAAGTGGAAGAAGCAAGACACAAAATGCTGTATACAAGGTGTGATTAAAAAATGGGTTAATATGTAAAGCAATTTTTATTGAAGTTAAAGACTCGCTGCTGTTAATCCCCCGAGAACAGTGCCCCTGTCTTCAGAAACACTCGCCCACTGTTCCTGCCACCGTTTTGAAGCAGTTCTGGAAGTCCTCCTTCATGAGTGATTTTAATCATGCGGTCCTGGCTGCCCTGATGTCCTGAACTAATTCAAAACGTTTACCTTTCATGGTCATTCTGACTTTGGAAAAGAACCAGAAATCCCTTGATGACAGATCCGGTGAATAAGGTGGATGGGGACACAGAGTAATTTTACAAGCCTGCTTTTCTGTTGGATGGGACGTGGCAGCAGCCTTTTTCTGTAATTTTCAATCACACCTGACAGAGACGTGAAAGAAGACTTTCCAAACTGGTTCAGAGTATGGCAGGAATGATGGCATAGGTTTGTTTAAAGTAAGGAGAATGAATGAAAATGTGTCTTTTATTGCAACGCTTTTTAAACTTTAAACATACACTATATTTTTAAAATCAACTCTTGTGTATATGATTTCATTCATCTGAAATATCCAGAAATGGTGTGTCCATGATGGAAGCTCCTTGGCTGTGGCTGAGGGCTGGTTGGAGGGGAAAAGGGGCATCATTTGCTTAATGAGAATGGGGTTTCCCTTTGGGATTCTAAACAAGCTCTGGAACTAGATAGTGATGACAGTGGCACCACATTAAGAATATCTGTAATGCCTTTGAATTATATACTTTAAAATGATAAACTTTCCCTGAGTGATGTATTTTAAAATTTTGTTGAAGTTTTTTTTCTTTTTCTTCTTTTCTTTCTTTTTATCTATGAGTAAAATGGTTTTGCAAAAAAGGAAAAAAAGAAAGAAATGGTAAATTTTATGATTGTGTATTTTTCCTACAAGTTAAAATGTTAAAAAAAAAAAAAAGCACTGGAATAATCATCACTGTGAATACCTGAAAAAAATGGTTGCTCATAAACTTGTTTTATAGTTAGATATCATTTTTATTTTTATTCCTATTTAGAAGGATGTTACAAACTGGGTGTGGTGGTGCATGCCTGTAATCCCAGCACTTAGGAGGCTGAAGCAAGAGGATTTCTGTGAGTTCAAGGCCAGCCTGTGCTACACAGTGGGTTCAAAGTTAGCTTGATCTTCTTAGCAAGATCTTATCTCAAAAAATAGCAACTAAAACAAGAGAAAAATGCTATAACATAAAAATGTCCCTGAAAAGGAAAGACAGTAAAAAATTCTGGAGAAAAAATAGAAGGGGAAAAGTCTTCCATAGGGTAGGAAATAAAAGGTCAGAGATGGTCTGCTGATGACAGGTGGCAGGATGGCGTGGGGAGAATAAGGTCGTGATGTTTTGTCTAGGAAAGAAACAGATCGCAGACGTGAAAAGAGAGAAATAGACGACAGGGCAAGACTTCCGAACAGCATGGAGAAGAAACTAGAATAAATTAAAGAGATTCTTAAAACCAAGAACAACATCAACACACACAGGAAAAGTTTAAATTCCATTCTCGGTTTCACTCTCCCTTGTATTTCCTGTGAGTTAAATTCTTAAAGATAACAAAGAACCTTAGATTGAAGCCAGGATCTACGGGTGAGAGTTACATGGGAACAGATACTTCCCCAAATCAGACTTTACTATTCAGGCCATTATCTACCAGTGCTTGATTTCTTTGCCCTGGGTCCCCCATCCTGGTACATGATTACACAAAGGATGGTCAGGCCTTCTCCTTACAGCAAGGAGAGTTGGGTATGAGCCAGCAGCTGGGCGAGATCATTTCTGAAATCCCTTCCAATTCTGTGTCCTGTGTGTAAATGATTCCAAGCCACATGCAGGTGCCTAAAACAGGGGGGGTTGGTCATGGGTCAGCAGAGAGTGGCTGAATATTTATTGCACATGTGTGCTCCATTTTAAAGAGGGTTTCTTGGAAGGACACAGGAGATCCTTCTTGAAGAGAGTGTGGTTAGATGAGAGGACTGAGATGGAGACTGTAACTCTTTAACATTACATTTAGTTTGTTAGGAGGTAAGGATTTTAAAATATATACTTAACTTGAAGATTCACACACAAAAAAGATGAAAATAAAAATCACCTATGGTCCTACCACTTTGGTGAATATATTTCTATGCCTACCCGAAAAACACACACAAAGCACACAGATAATCATATAAACATGCTGTTTCATAGGAATATCTTTCAGGGGCATTAAACAGTCTTTAACAATGTCATGATTTTGATATGTGTGTTCAAAACTTATTGTCCTTTATACCAAACAAAACAAAACATGCAAATGATAGGACCATTTGTATTTTGTAAGAAAGGACACCTGTGCAAGAAATCAGCTTCAGGATCAGAGTTCCTTCCTCATGCATATCTGCTAATGCACTTGAGTCTTATGAGACTGGCAGGCCTTCCCAGACTAAACCTATAAATGTGTTAGACAGATCTCTGTCCTTAACTGCGTGGACACTTGGGGGAATATCTTACTTCCTGTGTGAGGAGGAAGCTTGTGAGGGCTTGCTGATACTTTGTCACAGATGGAAGCAAATGGGCATAGCAGGTGTCCTCCTAGTCTCCCTTAAACAGTGGCCTGTCAATTAGATACTGAGATGAAGATTTAGGGACCAGCAATGTCTTTCCTGAATGTTTGGGAAATAGCCATTTACTGGCATATGTGATGCAACTCAAGTAGGAGGCCAAGGCAACCCCTACCTACAAGGCCACAGTTGTATTTACCAACGACCAGATAAAGTAGGCTTTGCTCAAATGATCTGAGATTTGCAGCTTTTATTTAAGTCATTCTCCCAAAACTACATAATCAGTGATAAAAAGGGCACAATTGTTTTCCCAACAATTGAGGGTTATGAGGGACATAGTTTATTTATAGCTTAGGAGTTAAGTATAGCACTGAAGAATTATACTCACAAAATAACAGTGTCTCTCAGGCCCTCCAGGACCCAGATGAGTATGTGGGCCCCACTGACTTCTGAATAAATTTCTAAATCCTATAGTAGGAACAGTTTGCAAAGCCCTTTACCCTCCTGTCTCCAACCTCTGTGGCCTTTTTTCTTGTGCCACCGTTACTCGCTTGCTTCCAGGCACATGGACACGGTATAAGCCCAGCACACTGTTGCTTCTGACCTTACTGTTCTTGCATTTGATAGTTTCCCATCTGCATTTGTGAACACAGCCACACTTCATCTTGATCCTGCTCAAATGCCACACTATTCCTGCCAAGGATTCTCTCACTACCCCCTCTAAAATTACTCATCCCCTCCTTGGGTTCATTAGCAGAAACTCGGGGGATGTCAAAGGACTACCTGTAGATTATATGGTAATATAATCTACAGGTGATAACTCCTTCTCCATTGAGACAGCCTCTTGCTCAACAATCCTGTCTCTGACTCATATGGCTCTCCTGTCTAATCAAATCAGAAATAGATGAGCTGTTAAGTGACACTATCACAACACCTGCAGTTGGTTTTTGGCCTTTACATATTTGGGATCAACATTCCTATTCATTGATTCAGTATCTTTTTTTGTTTTACCATAAGAACCTGACTTTTATTGTGAGCTCTAGCAGTACACCCAGTTAAAACACTCAGCTTCCCCGAAGCCACTGTCCTTTATACAAGGTCAATTGTTCATTTCTGAGCAAAGAGAGGTAAGTGGAACTAGCTGGGTTGGCATTTATTAAGTTGCATTGCCCTGGCCTTTACCTTTTGCTCCCAACAACTCCTCCATTCTGGAGTGTGGAGCCTCTACCACCTTTGAACCTTGAGAATAACAGTGGGGTGATAGTCTAGCAAGCAGAAATACAAAAGCAGCCTAGAACCTCCATGGATCCCTGTAAACTCTGCACTGCATTAACTCTACTTGACACCTCTGTATTTTTTGTTGTATGATCCGTATCTTGGTTTGTCCTCCCCACCGAGTCCCTGTGCCACTTCCCTCCTACCCCACAGTGTTGGGGATTGAAACCAGACACTCACAAATGCTAGGCAAGCACTCTACATTGACTTATATCCTCAGTCCCTGTATCTTGTCTAAGCCAGAGTTTGTTGAGTCTTTTTACACACAGTAAAGCATAACCCCTAAGTGACAGCAACTTGAATTCAGTTAAATTTTATCAGTGATTACCTAGGATGTGCCAGTGCACTAGGAAGTGAGTTAAATTTGGGAATATGAAAGTGGAAAAGATGTAACCCACCATCTTCAAAAAGTTTACAGTCAAATACCTTAAAAGGTCCATAGGCAAGCCATTATATAACAGTTAATCACTTCGGAAGTGGTGGTAATTTATTTAAAGAACATTGGAACAAAGCCACCATTATTAGTAACGAACATGGACAAAAGTACACTGGGGTAAATTCCATAGAATTCATTTTACAATATTTTTATACCTTAAAAAATGTGTACATATGTGGGTGAGTCCCACTGAATGATATCATATTATCGATAAAATCTGCACAATCATGAAGTTATAGTTACTTTATCTTCCTATAAGTGCCACTTTACACTTGTTTATTTTCTCTGGTAGGGTCAGAGAACCTCCATGTTTCCAAAGTAAATTTCTCAAAGCTTTGTCAATTTTTTATACACGGAGAAACCCCAAGAAGTCCATGGAAAAATAAACACAATCTCAAAGAGCAAGACTAACAAAGGATAGATTGAGGTGGATGCCAAGTGTAGGAGCAACCTTTTAACTCAACTGCAGCACCCACTTTAGCAATGCTGCCTCTGCCTATGTCCCTGCTTTCTGGTGCTTCTTTCCACCACTGTCCCTCTTTCCCTGTCCATCGCCTCCTGTTCCTTCCTCTCTTGTCCCTCATCTAATGCTCTGGTTTTCCAAAGTCCATCTTTCTTTTTCTTATCCAACCAAAAATTAACAATAAGCAATTTTGAAAGATTATTTTCTATGCCTGTTGAGATTTTATACAAATTTTTCATTTTTAAGCTAATGATTGGCTTGTTATTTCTTAAAGTTGCTTAACTCCTCCTTTAGCAGAAATCACAGCATGTTTGATTTGACTTAGGCCATCAGAAGCCATGCATCACTTTTCTTCTAATGTCCTACCATCCCTACCAGAGCAGTAATATTGCTGGCATACTCAAAGATCTAACTAAAAGTAAGAACCAAGGCCACTACCTTCCCAAACCCCATATGCTGTCTTCAAGTCTGAGGATTGGGATAATTCCTAGGGCAGAAGGGGATGCAAATACCTTCACACTCTGCTGCCCTTCTGCAGGCCCAGACCCTTCCCCAGTGCAGCTGACCTCTCTGGACTGGATCACTGGATTATCTCCATTAGTGGATTTCTTACAAACATCTGGCGGCAGAGCCTGGCTCGTTCCAATCCTCTGAGTCCTCCCAGACCACAGGCGTTCTCTGGGTTGGGCAAGTGATTTGTCCCCGGAGTCTGTAGAGGAAATTTGCACTGGTCTCCTATGCTTCTCTCAGAGCAGGAGACGGTTGTTTATTCCACATAATTAATGGACAGAGAAACTGGGCCTAATTTATTTCACTCATAGGAATGCAAGTCTGTTCTTTCAAGAAAAGAATGTGTGTCTTTGCCTTACCCAAGCAGACTCACGATTTCCCATAAAGGGTAGATATGCTTAGCCAACAATGAGGGAAAGAAGCAAGTCTCAAAAAATCTACAGAAAAACTCAAGAGTTTTTAAAGAAACTGTGCTTCTTTTTGGATCATATCACCTTAAGAGCTTTGTGTGATCATTTAAAATTACTATTGGAAAACATTTAATGAGG